AAAGAACACAGAACAAAGGTAAAATGGCACCATGATGGAATAAGAGGAGGACTTTTGCTAGATGGTCCCAAAAGACTGGGCTGAAGAAGTAACATTTGCCCTGAAGCCTGAATGATAAAAAGAGGCAACTTTGAGACAATCTGAAAGTGGAGATTTCAAAGCCCAAGGGGACTCTAGGTGCAAAGGGCCTGAGGAAGAAACAAGCTTAGCGTATGTGAGGGACAGAAAGAAGGCCAGTGTGGTTGAGGCACAGGACCAAGGGAGAGGGGAGGGGAGGAGGGCAGCAGGGGTCATCATATCCCAGGTTCTTGGAGGCTAAGCTAAGAATTTTGGATGTCAGTCTGGTTGCAATGAAAAGCTTCTGAATGGAAGATTGAAGCAAAGGGTGATGTCATCCACACGATGCTCTAGAAAAACTGCTCAGGTTACAGCTGCTCCAGTTACAGCTCAGAGGATGGACAGGAAGACGAGGGAGGCCAGTTAGGAAGCTGATAGATTCTCCAAAAGTTCCAAAGACCAAGGTAGTTGATGATGATGAGTAGGATTAGAGTCAGAGGGAAGTTTTGAGGAAATGGCAGAAGTAGAATTCTCAAATTGTAAATAAAGGAAACGGCCTGAAAAGGGACAAAATGTTTTATAAGCTGTCTCTTTAAAACCCCTTCACTCTTTTTGGGAGTTATAACTTGCATCCTTGCCCAAGGCCAGTAATCAGAGAGGTAGGGGAGTGTCCTTTGATCTTTGTACCACAGGCAAAGGCTCAATCAAATTGTCTGGTTGGAGATCACCCGATTGTCTTCACTGGAGATGGGGTCTTCAGGACCAGCAACTATAGTTAAACAACAATATCCTAAGCTTGAAACTCTCTCTTTAAAAACTCTGTGTTTCTGTTCATAGGGATGAAAATTATACTTTAAAATATGAGTCTGCCATTCTCTTCATTTGCCAGCAAATTAATAAACCTTCCTTTTCTTCTCCTAAAACCACTTATCTTCATTTTTTCTGATGCAGCCTCGGGGGCAACTGCTGAACTTTCACTTTCAGTAATAGAATTTGGTGTCCCTGGGTGGGTCCATGTGTGCCCTGGTAGAAAGTCACCCCAAGACTGCTGGAAGGGGCGGGGAGTAGCCTTGGGTCAAGTCATAGGTAGAAGCATCACCTTTTTGGGTAAGAAAATAAGGGACTACCCCAGCAGCTGCCAGAGCCCGTTTTAGCTTTGGGGAACTCCCATGTCTTTCTCCCCAAATCAGACACAGCTGTGACCAACCTGAACTTTTTTTTTTTGAGAAAAAGGAAATGGATTTGGGAAGTGTTCAGACACCTTAGCCTCTTGTCTGAGTAAGTTCCTGAACATGCATGCTGAGATCCTTGATTCCACCCATTTGAGGGAGGTTTTCAGACCTTCCTGTTGGATTTGTTTAGAGGCACCATTTGGGGGGAGAAGTCACAAGGTGGAGTGGAACTAGGGAACCTGGTTTGAATTTGGAGCTCATTTGTATGGTTCCCTGGGAAACTGGGGGATTCTTTCCCCTTTGGATAAGGAGATGTTGGTTTTCATTTGAGAATTTGGTTCTCATTTGGGTGGTTCCCATTTGTTGAAAGGTGTTGGGATTATTGTTTCATTGTTTGTATCTGTTATTTGTGAGTTTTGTTTCAACATAGAGAAGCTCCATCTGAAAGCTCCTTGGGGAGAATCTTGGCTGAATGGCCAACTTACAGCTACAAGTCTATGTCTAAAAAGGAATGGTGTGATTGTAATCCAATGTGTGTTCTGGAGTGTGAGGAGAGGTGGCTGTTGAATGAAACCTTAAGTTAGTATATACTACCTTACAACTAGATTTATTTTGTCAAAGTTCAGATAAATGGGATGAAATCCTACATGTAAAGCTTTCATGCAATTGTACAATAAGGAAGCTAAAAGGCTGTGTGATAAAATTGGGGAGGGATTAACCAGGTTGGATCTCATGAAGCCCCTCTCCTGCTGCCAGGTCCCCACCTGCCAAGCAGGCACCGTGGGCTTGGCTGCGCTCAAGCTCCTGCTGCTGGGGGCCCTGCTGCCCTGTCTGCCACAGGCCTTTGTGATGGCTTGTTTGAGTCCCCTGGTCTGCACCAGCTTCGGGTCAGTTGCTGGGCACTGGCTGAGGTGAGGTGCCACAGTGGGGGCAATCCATGGCAAGGCTCCATGGGCTCTGGGCTTGGCCGCTCTCCAGCTTGTGCTGATGAGACCCCTGCCAGAGCCGCACTGGCCTGGGAAATGGGCCCCACGTGGACCGTGGCACAGGGCAACTGCCAACTAATGCCATCGCTGCCATCTCGGCACTGTGAGAGAGGTGGGGGAAGAGTGCAACCGGAAATAATTCCTCAGTCCCATACCCACTAGGTTATGACTTGGGGTTAGGAGTTGGTCCCTCCTTCTAAGACCCAGCAAAGAACTCAATTTGTCCAGAGGGTACCCATAGCAGGGCCAGGGTTTGGATGTGCAAGAATGGTCAGCAGGGTCCTTTGCCACAGTCAAAAGGAAAGTGTGGAAAAAGTTGCTCCAGATTGTTGTACAGTAAAGAACATTGCCCCCAAATTGCAAAGGGCTCCAGGTAACAAGAAACCCCAGGAGAGCAAATGGTTTTTTTCAAGTCCAGGACTCAGGCGACAGAAGAGGGAGCCCAGGGCCCCCTGCCTCACTAATGGCTCCAATCCAAATGTCACCACAGGAGTCCTGACGATGAGCCAGGCATGGGGTGGTAGGGTCCTGGCAGTGGTGAGACTGAGGAACTCACTAACAAGTGACTATGAATGGTACTAGTCACATTTGAATGGCAGGATCCTGAGACTAGAGTGGCCTTAGTTGGAGAGATGGCTTTGAGGCACTTCTGTTCTCCCAACAAGTCATCTGTCATATTAAAAAATTCCTTTCTTTCTAGGAAATCCTCATTGTCTCAATAATTGGATCTTTGTGTGATGAGCAACTGGACCTAAGCCAAAACCCCCTTGCAATTTTGACAACAGTCTCACTCTGTCACCCAGACAATGGTAAGAGTATGGCTCACTGCAACCTCAAACTCCTGGCCTCAAGTGATCCATAGTGGTCCCAGCTACTTGGGAGGCTGAGGCAGGAGGATAACTTGAGGCCAAGAGTTCAAGGCTGCAGTGAGCTGTGATTGGGCTACTACACTCCAACCTGGGCAACAGAGAAGACCTTGTCTCCAGAAAAAGAAAGAAGAAGAAAGAAAGAAAGAAAGAAAGAAAGAAAGAAAGAAAGAAAGAAAGAACCTTAGTGTAAACTAGTAAACTATGGACTTTGGGTAATAATGATGTATCAATGTAGGTCCATCAACTGTAACAGATATACCACTCTGTGTGTGTTGGGGGCGTTGACAATGGGGGAGGCTGTGCGCATGTGGGGGCGGGGTATATGTGGGAAATGTCTATACCTTTCTCCCACTTTTGCTGTGTATCTTTCTAGCATTTTAAAGCCAAATTCTTAATATCTCATCAATCTTGACTTACCACTCAGAGCAGTACTGATGAAAACATCCCTTAATATTTTATGAGCCAGAGGACATGAACATATCTAAAAGAGCACATTTTCCCCCTGAGGGCCCGTAAAGTGCATGTCAAAAAGCTGAGCATGCACAGAATTATTAGGGCATATTTCTAAGTATATACCAAAATGTCCACAGAGGTTTTTTAGAGCACTAAAGGCAGCTAAAGCTCCTATTTTCTGATTTTAATTTTTTTATAGACATTCTTCTTTCATTCTAAGAAAATGCATGTATTTAAAGGAAAAATATTCCTGAGTCTACCCATTCTAGAAAATATTAACTTCCACAGAAAGGAAGTTTTCCACAGTTTAAAACTTACTATGTATAGCATGTGTCCATTTACACTCTGCAAATGAAAGGCATAAAAGTGTTTACAGTGGAAAGTAGGTCTCCCTCCAGCCCCTGCCTCCCAATCTCCCTGCTACCCTCCCAGGAGGCAACCACTGTCCCCAGCCATATATCACTCAGAGAGATTCTATTTATATAAGCAAATACCTAGTTTTTTTTAAAAAAGTATAAATAGGCCAGGTGAAGTAGCTCATGTCTACCCTCCCAGGGTTTTGGGAGGCCAAGGTGGGACAATCCCTTGAGGCCAACAGTTTGAGAATAGCCTGGAAAAACATGGCAAGACCCTATCTCTACAAAAAGTTTAAAAATTAGTTAATTGTGGCACGCATGCCTGTGGGCCCAGCTACTCAGGAGGATCTCTTGAGCAGGAAGATCTCTTGAGCCCAGGAATTCAAAGCTGCAGTAAGCTATGATTATGCCACTGCACTCCAGCCTGGGTGACAGAGGGAGACCCATCTCTAAAAAAAAAAAAAAAAAAAAATAGTAGCATATTGTATGCTGTTCTGGACTTTTATACTTACCATATCTTAGGGATCCTTCCAGAGCTGTGGAAAAAGAGTTGCCTCATTCTTTTTCAAAGGAAGTTTAATATAAAGGGTGTTATGGCTGAGAAATTATATATAATTTGTTTTTGCCAATTCAAGAGCAGAAATGTAAATTAATGCTTAGTTTTCTGGACTTTGATATCAAATAGTCAAAAGCTTTGACATTTTTCTCTCCCTGTGGCTCTATTTTCATCACTAAGATTCCCCACTCTATGCCCCTCCAACCCCCATCAGAGATAGCTTAGTCATCTGATCTCACTTTTGATGAGTCAAATCTAAATAAATCCATAGGGTGTGGCTCAGATGCCCCTTAAGCCCAAAAGTCTAGAAGATAAAATAAAAAGAAATGTGTAAGACTGAGGGCTGAGAGTTTGTTGAATATCTGAGATTTGAATGTGTGTGTGAGTGTGTGTTAATTCCTTGTCAACTATGGCTATTAATACATTCTCCTCTCCCTAACCTTTCACCTGGAGAGATTGGCTCACAATACAAGCTGAGTGCACATCTCCGGACTGTTCTAGGAAGTCATACTCCCTTAGATCACTGTCGTTCGTTCGCAAGGAGAAAGCACTCACTCCGATGGTATTTTTCGAATACTGTTTCTGCTCTCCACTGTCTTTTTTCTCTTGAGGTAAGCAAGGCAGGCACATCTGCCAAGGATAACTGAGAACGCAAGGGCAGTCCTTGCCTGGGCAGCTTGTGCATGCTGTGTGCTAAATGCAACTCCGAAGCACGCCCTATAAATAGCCGTTCATTGTCAGCGCGTGAGGAAAGACAAGAGAGTGTGCCGTGCTGCGATTCAGGCCTGATTAAGCGGTGGCGCCTGGGGAGGGCTGTAAAGGAGTCGCAGCTCCTCCTGGTCGCCCAGCCAGCAGGCGACCGACTGCCACGGGTGGACGGGGGAGCCTGTCCAATGCTGCTTCTGCCTCCACGATGGCGAACATCATCTTGAGGCACATCATAGAGACGCCAGTGCGTTACCAGGAGGAGTTTGAGGCGCGGGGTCTGGAAGACTGCAGGCTGGATCACGCTCTGTACGCCCTGCCCGGGCCGGCCGTCCCCGACCTGAGTAAAGCCAGGACGGCGCAGCCTCCCGCGGCGGCTGCACAGGTGCTGCCCCAGGAAGACACAGCCCGCTTCCAGATCCTGCTGGATGTGGTCCAGTTCCTCCCCGAAGACATCATCATTCAGACCTTCGAGGGCTGGCTGCTGATCAAGGCGCAACACGGCACGCGCATGGACGAGCACGGCTTTGTCTCCCGGAGCTTCACGCGACAGTACAGGCTGCCGGAGGGCGTGCAGACCAGGGACCTGTGCGCGACCCTCTGCCACGATGGCATTCTGGTGGTGGAGGCCAAGGACCCGGCTGGGACTCGGTGAAACCTCAGCCGTTCCTGCCCACACGGCACTGAGATGCCTATAGTCCAGGCCATCGTGCCACGGCAATGATTGTAAGACCCACGTTTGAAATGAGTCACTGTGATTTTTATGAAGATTAAAAATATGCACACAGTTCCTGGTATGTTGAGGTTGTCTTTATTATTTCTTACTCAGAAAGGAAAATTGTGAAATAGGTGTGTGCAGCTCAAGCTGATGCTGTTCTTACAGCTGAAACGTTGGAAATTTAAGAGACTGTAGTTTGATATAATTGATATAATAATTGATATGTAATGATTGATATAATTTCTTCCTCACTGCAACACCACCAGAGAGACTGCGTTGGTGATCACCGATGGCAAAAGAGCCATACTCATTTAAAGAATATTTTAATCTATCTTATGAAAACATTTTATGTTGCTAAAACCAGTTGTGATTCCCTTCACTTGATAAGCTTTTCTTTTCAGTGCATTTTAATTGAAGTGGTGCTTTGTAAATATGGAGCCTGCAAATTAAAATATAGTTCTTGGAAATTGGGTCTGAAATCTATTTATGATTCACTATAATAACCTGCCTTAAACTTGCAGTTGGAATTTTCAGATATAAATCTTATTTTTAAAAAAGTTCAATTATATACCTCATTCATCTTTTTAAAGCTAAACTGAATCCTATCTGAAGTGTTTATTTAAAAAGATAATGTAAGTTCTATGGATATTTATGAAATGTTATTAAGATATATTACCATATTCCCTTATAAATCAACATTAAGTTTAGGAAACCGCTTTAAAAAGTTTGATTACTAAGTTCAGTGAGTTTTAATCTGTACTATTTAGATATTCCTTAAAACTGAAGATTTCAGAAGATGGAACATGCATCTGCTATCTCTGCATAATCCTTAGCTTTAAATAGCCGGGCAGCAGTGGAAGTTACGACACCTGAGCTTACACTGCTGTCTGAGTTTACACAGCACGTCTGATGATTGGTGCTCATTATACCCTCCCAAACTGCTGCTTTGGCTCAAGGTTGAGACGTTGGTAGAGGTTAAGAATTTGCTTTAAGAATATTGCCTTCAACAGCTGGTCTGCCACATTCCAAAGATTTGCAATCTCATTCTGAACACACTGAATATTTCCCCAGAGGAAGTAGCTGCCTTCCTTTTGCCCCCACACTGAATGTGAGCTGACAATGAGCCCTAGGACAGTGCTAAGAATAGAAAAGGAACGCAGGGTGTGGAAAGCACCAGGGTAAATGCAGACTGCTGACAATATCACTGTGCACCTCCCTGTTGCTTTATTTGTGGCTCAAGTTAAAATGTAAAAGACATGAAGCCATAGAAAGAGACATTAAACAGTTCCAAAAGTCATTTTGAAAGCAAATATAATCTGAGAGGGATGTTTGTTTACAATTAAATTGAAAGGATTTTGAAATTATATGCCCGTACGAGGTTAACGCCTATACACAGGTTTGTGCATCCAACTCTGGGATATGAAATTTTGTTTGACAAGAATGTCACAGATCTGCCTGGCTGCGTGACAACGTTAATGGAATTCCATTGATCTACTAATACAATTAGAACTGGGATACCATTTGTTCCACATTGGATTATTATTCCTTCCTACTGATTGACAGAATAGTGTGAAAACTAGTCCTGTGAAAAACACTCCAAAAAAACCCTCATTTGTCCTTGATCTTAGTTTAGATGAGATCTTGCTTCTGGGAAAAGGAAGTGAAATTTCAGGAAGTGAAATTCTACCACAAGGAGCCACTGATAGGAAATATTTCCTTTAAAAATGAAAATTAAAATAGACACTCCAATTAGTATTTATTTTTTTCTAAGATAAATTTTAAAGTCATACATAGCAATTTTTTTGATTTGGAAAGTACACTACATGCTATAAAAATTAAAACCATTTATTATTTTTCTGCTACCTGAAGTAGCTATCTAGATCAGTCGCCTCATACATAAATGCATGTATTACTTTTCACAAAATTAGGATTACATCTGCATGGACTTTGATATTCTGACTATACTGGTTATTGTCTGTTGCCCTCCCCACTCCCACGAACTCAAACCCATTCTCTGCTCTTCTCAGCGCCACTCTGAGCCCAAGTGGGCTGACCTCATGGGCCATATATCATTCTAGTTTTCAGGTGAGTTCGGCGGGGAGGAGGCACCAACAGGAGACCAGAGATTACAGAGAGATTAGTGGGCAGGAGAGGGGAAAGGTCAGGGCATTTCTTCCCTCAGCCCCAACCTGCTGCAGATCGAGGCTCTGTCACGGCCCACGTCCTTCCACGACGGGACTTGTCCAGGGCTCCCAATCTTAGAGGGCTCAGGTGTGTACCGCTGTTCATTCCTGTTGTTCGTTCAGCAGGAGGGGTGGCTTTCTGCTCTTTCTTGTACCTGCTGCATCACCATTCCTTGGTTCCCTTTACTTTGCCCTCTCTCCTAAATGGTCCCTGCATTTTAAAATGGTCCCTTGAGGCAATGGAATTCTGTTTTCTGCCAGAACTCTGATTTTTTGACCGCTTAAGTGATTTAAAAAAAATTAGTGCATCGCTTTCTTTTGCTACCAAACACGAACTGAGTTGTAATGGCTATTAACTATTCCAACATAGATAAATCATGTTATCATTTAGCCACTCGTTTTCACTCTTGGTCCCAACAGGAAACAGATGGCACTCTCAAATTAGAATCATTTGAGAAGGGTTTATTTATAAAGAGACTAATTACAAAGAAGTGGGCAGAGAGTAGAGGCACTGCAAAGGAAAGTGCAGTAATCCAAGGGTGGCAGAGTAGGGCTATGTCCCCTAGGTCCAAAGGGATGCGAGAAGGAAGCAGTTCTCAGAAAGTGGGATAGAGGAGACTACCAGCTGTGACTTTCATTTGAGGGCTACAGCAGCCCAAGGTCACCTCTCACAGGGAGGGAGCCAGGAGAACAAATACTTTCTCCCTCCAATCTCCTACCAGGGTGCCCCATTGGTTGGATCTAGCTATGGCCAGGGGTGTGGAGCCCTGTTGATATAGTCCAGCAGCCTCCCAGGGCAGCAGAGTGGAGAAAAGTGGGGGAGTGACCCCGAGGGGAAAGGGGAAAATGTTCAGCATGCTAATCATGCCAAATGAGTCCTCTTGGCAGAGCTCCATCCAAAAATCTTTTCTGCAAAGTAGAGCCTGAGACAGGATTGAAGAGCTGACACTCTGTTTGGGAAGTGCAAGCCAAGGATGGTAAAGTGAGGAAATAGGGGAAAGGAGGCAAGAAAAAAATGGGCAGCAGCAAGGTGCCCATAACGATGGACATGTCACCATGTGGATTGCCACGGCACTATGAAGAGGCTCAGCTGGTGTCTTGGCAGGGATGTTGGCTTAGCACATGGAACCGCTCCATGGGGAAGTTCTCTTTAGGGAGAAAACAAATCTTAAAGCAGTCCCCAAGGGAATGAAGGAAACGGAATTTGCTTGCCCTGTTCCCTACTGTATCCCATTTCCCATTAGTCAAGGTTCAGCTCACAGAGAATAGACTTGTCTGCACTTGTGGGATGTATCATCCAATCCCCTGGTGGCTACTCAGGAAACCAGACCTTCATGGTGTGACATTTCATCCAAGCTGGGAGCAGAAGGATGACTCAGCATGGTTAGGGCTCAGGGTGGGGAGTGCAGGCTCAGGGCTACAGCCTGGACTCCTGCCGCCTTGGGAAGCTTGGCAAAGAGGTTGGCAAAGGTGGCAGCAGCAACGGTCTGGAAGGCAGGCAATTACCTTCAGAAATAAGGTGGCCAGCGAGAAGGTACACAGGGTTGGTACCCAATCTGACCTCCAATGTAGAACTGCAGGATGCAGGAAAGGAATGCTAGGCAAATCAGACAGTCTTATAGCATCTGCTGCATCTGCTGCCTCTGTACCCTGCATTGCCTTCAAATTGGATGGGCCTTAATGTCACCTTATAATTTGATCTAATTTTTTTTTTTTTTTGAGACCGAGTCTCACTCTGTTGCCCAGGCTAGAGTGCTGTGGCATCAGCCTAATTCACAGCAACCTCAAACTCCTGAGCTCAAGCAATCCTCCTGCCTCAGCTTCCCGAGTAACTGGGACTACAGGCATGTGCCACCATGCCTGGCTAATTTTTTCTATATATTTTTAGTTGACCAATTAATTTCTTTCTATTTTTTTGTAGAGATGGGGGTCTCACTCTTGCTCAGGCTGGTTTCGAACTCCTGACCTTGAGCAATCCTCCCGCCTCGGCCTCCCAGAGTGCTAGGATTACAGGCGTGAGCCACCGCGCCCGGCCAAATTTGATCTAATTTTTAATCTGCTTAGGAGCAAAGTCAGTTCTCTTAAACTTCTCCAGGGTTTTTCTTTTCCCATACATTGTGGACTAAAGTTGTTTGTTTGTTTGTTTATTATTTAAAGCTGTCTTCCTAGAAGTCCAGAAGTCAATGAAGATTTTGGAGACCTTGGTTCCCATTTGACTTCCTCAAGTCCAAACTGCACTGAGGTTCCTGACGTGTCGACCTATTTCTCACCTGCTTGCCCTCTAAGGTACAGGCATAGCACTGGAAATCTTATTTGGAAGTGAAAACAAATTAAAACAAAACAAAAGCAAAAGAAAAGAAGCAACATGCTTCCCAGCTAGCTGTCTTGCTCACCCTTTCTACCATCACAGGGTAGTGAGATTTAGCATAGTGAGAAATGCCTTGTTCAGATGTAAGATAAATCTTGGAAGATGTGCAGCAAAGATCTGCTAGCCTCAGTGCGCTGACCAGGCACACGGCCCTTCTCAAAGAGCTGCCCTGAAGTTCTTCCCTGCCTGGGTGTCTCCTGCTTGCCCACTGTATATAATTATATCTGAACTATGTCTTTCAGCATTTTCTGCCACTGGGAAGACAGTGCAGTGTTATGAAAGAGTCAGAACTTTAACTGGAATTCGCAGATATAAGAAACACTGTGTTAACACAATTCTATTCGATTTTATACTTATCACACAACTAAAAACAACAAAAATGTATTAAGATCTTACTTCACAATAGAATGTTACTCAGCAAATCATTACAAAACACACTTTAACTATGACCCTTTTTGAGAAGAGGATAAGACTCTGAATATGAGGAAGGGAAATGGCCAAGATCAGGGATTTGGACGCTTTCTTTCTTAACTGCTGGTTCTTCTAAGCTTTTGCTATTGGCAGAGCATCTTGTGCCTGGAATGGATTATTATAAGTATATAGTTATCACTGTTTAAAATCCTCTATCGATGGGGGGTGGGGTCTGCAGTATCATATATTGAAGCCATATTCATAAAAATGTGTGATGGGATCATGCATGGTCAGTCTGTAACTGGCTCCCATTGAACAAATTTCAATGACCCCTATATAATCCTCTCCCTTACTAACACACAACTTGACCTTTTGAGTTGTTTCCCAGAAATGATGGATTTTATGTAAGACAGAGGAGCTGAGATTCTGAAGGTCCCTGGGCAGACTTTCTGACCCTAAGATTCGCCTTTCCCACAACCTGCCCCCAGTGCACCTAGCCCCTTGT